TAGGGCTGCCATAACAAAGCACCACAAACTGGGTGGCTTAGAACAACAGAAACTTATTGTCGCATAGTTCTGGAGGTCAGAAGTCCAAGATCAAGTTGTTGGCAGACTGGTTCCTTCTGAGACTGTAAAGAAGAATCTGCTCATGCCTCTCTCCTAGCTTCTCCTGTTGCTGGCAATCCTTGGCATTCTTTGGCTGGTAGAAGTAACACCTTGGGCTTTTCCTTCATCTTCACGTGGCCTTCTCCTATGAGTGTAACAATGTGTCGAAATTTCCCTTTTTTATAAGGACACCAGTCATATTGGATTAGGGGTCCATCTTAATGACTTCATTTAACTTGATTATCTCTGTTTGGACCCTATATCCAAATGAGGTCACATTCTGAAGCATTGGGGTTAGGGCTCCAACATATCTTTTTCAGGAGATGCCATTCAACCTATAACACTCCAATATTCTCTTAATTGCCTTTCTAAGTCCCAGCCACAGTCTATTCTCATCAATGCTCACTTTCTACTCTTACTAAAACTATAAGTTTCATTGTAACATAGGATACGTTTTTGTAACATAGGGTAAGGCACAGACAATTTTTGATTTTTCATTTCTACACTGGAATGATTTGTGTTAATATAAATTGAGATTACATATGAGTGTTAAAATTATGTTGGGTGCTGCTCAAAATTATTTATTATTTTTTTTTTTAATTTTTTTTTTCCCCCCAAAGCCCCAGGAGATAGTTGTATGTCATAGGTGCACATCCTTCTAGTTGCTGTATGTGGGACGCGGCCTCAGCATGGCCGGAGAAGTGGTGCGTCGGTGTGCGCCCGGATCCGAACCCGGGCAGCCAGCAGCGGAGCGCACGCACTTAACCGCTAAGCCACCGGGCTGGCCCCCAAAATTATTTATAAATTCTTATTTGGTGTGTGTGTGTGTGAGGTCAGCCATCATTAGGTTACGTCCTGTGGGAACATACTAGCAAGTGGCAATTACTGGATTTACATAGCATTTATTCTTCAGAGAAATCAAAATACTATAACCTCCCAGTGCCTCAGGGTCCTGCACAATCACAGTAGGGTTAATAACACCCAACTGTCTCCCCCAAGATGACAAAGATGGTGACGCAGTAACATTTATCACCCAAATTCTCACTAGGTATGTGCACGGAGTATATTTGTATCAGTAGCTTCTCATCATAACTTTTGTTCTGGTTCAGTTGGGCTGTCCTCTGAATAAATAGGTATTTGGTTAACTGCAGAGTTCACTGCACTATGGAGAATTTTTTGTAGACTTTTGGTGACTTTCCATCGCAGTATTACCCTCCACATTGCTGCCAAAGCGTTCATCTGTTCAGAGCGATTGCACCCGTCTACTTAGCATTCTTTCTTTAGAGCCTGGAAGGAGCAGGTAGATGTGATTCTGTTTGCGTTAGTGGGCTAGGAGGAAGGAATGAGGAAGAGGAGAGAAGGGAGGAGGCAAAGCTCTGAGAAGCTGAAGTCAGACTTGGGTCCCGACTTCTGCCAGTCCCACCCATATAGTGCCCAGGTGTGGTTAATCCTAATACCCCTTCCAGCCACGGCCCCAGTGCCAACACACCCACTAATGAACTGTCCTCTTCAAGCCTCTCCCTGCGGTTCAAGAGGGCACTTGAGTATTTTGGAACTCTTAGAAACCACGTGTGTAGTCCTCCCACACACCAAATGCAAGTGCGGAGAGCAGCGGGCCAACACACCCGTGCGGGCGCTTGGAGCTCTCCTGCGGTCTGATGGGGACATTCTGGGCGGGACCGTTCGTAAAGAGCATGACAACATGGACTCGTGACCCTGGAAACCATCTGGTACAGTCCTCGGACCTTATTCACGAAGCCACCCAGCCTAGGGCTAAGGCACCTGGCGGGGTCCCCCAGCAGGACGTCCTTTACTCTCACATCACTCCCTAAGAGACCTACAGATGGACGCGTGAGCACGCAGACTGCAGACACACACCCTCCATCCAGGACACCAATGCCCACACGGCAGCCAGAGGACCACGCAGCTCACCTGGCCCAGCGTGAGTCCGCCCCTCACCTGCGCAGCCCCGCCTCACACCTGCGTAACCCCGCCCCTCTCCTGTGAAGCTCCGCCCCTCAACTGCGTATGGCCTCTCTTATCTATGCAGTCCCCGCCCCTCTCCTGCTAAGCCCCTCCCCTTCGCACGTACATCCGGGCCCCACAACCTGGCCCCGCCCCTCGCCGTGGCCCGGGGCCCGCCCCTCGCAGCGCTCCGCCCCTCCATCGCCCCGCCCACTCCGCGACCTAACGCCGTCCTCGGCCCTCGAGTCGCGCGCGCCGCGGCGGGAGCCCGCCCGCTTCCTCGCCAGCCTATTGGAGAGAGCGTCGCCCCGCGCGCCGACCAATGGGATCGCAGCCGGCGTGTCCCGCCCCCGCGCCGTGCGTCCGATAAGACGACGCGGCGGCGGTCCGGCGCTGGTGGAACGTCATGTGGCGCTGCGGCGAGCGGGCGCGTGGAGCGCTGCGGCGGCTGAGCGCAGGGTGAGGCGCGGCCGCGAGCAAGGGAGGGCAGGAAGGAGGGGCGGCGAGGGCGGGCCTGGCGCCGGCAGGGGCGGGCGGCTTCGGGTTATCACCCGGGCCTGGGGATGCCGCTCCACAGCTCCCTGCTGTGGGGGCCCCCGCTCCCCGAGACCCCTGGCCTGTGGCCCCCCTCCCCGAGACCCCTCGCCTGGGGCCCCCCTCCCCGAGACCCCTGGCCTGGGGCTCCCGCTCCCCGAGACCCCTCGCCTGTGATCCTCGCACCGCGAGACCCCTCGCCTGGGGCTCCCGCTCCCCGAGACCCCTGGCCTGGGGCCCCCGCTCCCCGAGACCCCTGGCCTGGGGCCCCCGCACCCCGAGACCCCTGGCCTGGGGCCCCCGCACCCGGAGACCCCTCGCCTGGGGCCCCCGCACCCGGAGACCCCTCGCCTGGGGCCCCCGCACCCGGAGACCCCTCGCCTGGGGCTTACGTACCCCGAGATTCCTCGCCTGGGGCTCCCGCACCCGGAGACCCCTGGCTTAGGGCTCCCATACCCTGAGACCGCTTGTCTGGGCTTCCCGCACCCGGACACTCCTCGCCTGGGGCTCTCGTACCCCAAGAGCCTGAAGCCAGCCTGAGGACCCTTGCAGGGCCTGGGTGAGGGGGTCCCTTTAGCTCCTTGGGATGGCAGAGCAACCCTCCTCTCACCTCCCAAAGGAAGGGAGTTTCTGTCCGGTTACCAGGGTCGCGGTGGTGGCAGGTAGAGAAGTCTGGGGGTAAAGTGGGGCCAGGCCCAAGGAGCGGGCCTGACCCCCTTTCCCTCTGGGACCTCAGGTGATCTCAGCGTGGGTGGCCCAGTGTGTGGGTTGTCAGGACTTTTGAAGGGAAGGTGGTCATTGATGTGGATTTTAATTGGTGCAGTAAAAGCAACTGGCCGTTCATGGTTCTCATTAAAACGTTTGCTCCTATTTTTTTTGTGGTGGGCAGGGCGTCCTTAAGAGACCTCAGGCTTCCACACCGAGTAATTACGTTTGTTACTACATTCATTACTAAAATTGTAACCTTGAGGAATTGAACTTTTTTTTTAATGACTAGATTTACCGAAAAAGAATATGTTTATTTTCCAACCTTGAATGACTGTCATGCCCTGTGAGTTTGTAAATTGGCATAACATTTTACTTGTTAAAAAAGGATGAGTTTAGTTTCATGGTAATTCACAGAACCTTGTTATGGTGCAGTTTAGCTGCTGTTAGGTGAGGAAACACAGGGGTGCCACTTGGTGGGGTGCCCTTCTGGCGTGTTCGAGTTTGGCGGCAGGAGTGTTATTCATATAAGTAGTTGGTTACCAGACAGTACATGGAGCGAACCCGTGTTGCCTCCGGCTTTTCATTCGCTTTCAGTATAAGCATTTCCTTTAGTGATTGTGTTCTTCATGATAATAACTTCTTAAAATCCTCTATCCCGTAATTCTAGAATGTGCTAAATCTATGAGGAAAGTGTTGGTTGGTTATAGCATATCTCTATGATATTGCCTAATATTGACTGAGTCAGTGTTGGTTTTTATGGAAAATTCCATAAAACGTGTAATACAGTTGAGAGAAAAATTATTTAAAAATAAGTCATGTCACCATTACCCAGTTTAAGATTACCCCTAACTGATGGTAACTGTCCCTCCCTCGTAGATGTAATCTCTGTCCTGGTTTACAGAAATTATTTCCTTGCTTTCTTTATATCTTTACCATCTGTGCATTTCTACAGTACAGTGTTACCTGCTGGATTAATACTGTGTCTGTCCTTGGTATTTTTTTGGTTCAGCATCATGTGACCCACATCTTCGTTCCAAGTAGTTGTAGTGTGTTCATTCTTACAGCTAAGTTTTTTTATCGATTGAATAAAATCCACAATTTATCCACTCTCTGAATGGACATCTGGGTTGGTGGAGTTTGGGGCTCTGAGCAATGGTGCCGACATTGTAGGTGTGTGCTGGTGCACGAGGCAGGTTCTCCAGGACACATACCTCAGGGTGAATGAATTGCTAACCTGAATGCCAAATGCTATTCCAAAGTCGTAGAATTTGCACACCGAGTAGCAGTGTATGAGAGTTCCTGGTAATACTACTTAATTTTCACCAATTTGGTAGGTATGGAATGGGACTTGATTGTAGTTGGAGTTTCTTGTGATGCTGTGATGGAAGAAGCCATTTTGACATGAGAGTTGTTTTTTATACAGATAAGGGAAATTGGTATTATAATTGTACTGTAGTTATTTATGAACAAGTACAAATGAAAGATTTTCAACGATTATTGATACTATGAAGCTTTAGCTGAGTTGACATACGAGATCACTAAAACTGAAAGAACTTTACTGGAAATTAGTTTCCTGGGATGTGTTTGGAAGATGCAAGGTTTAATTTTTTTGTTGAATTGTCTTTATCACATGGCAATATTTTTGTTATTGCTGAGATTATGTTAGCCAGTTTCCCCTAAATTGTCTAACGCAGATGACTTTCCTTAAATGTAGCAGTGCCGACCTCAGAGCATGGAGGTGGAGAAGTGACGCGGCCTGTGCCAGGGCGCTGCAGTATCGGGTCGGGGAGAAGATCCATGGCTTCACCATAAGCCAGGTAGGGGCCGGTCCTGCTGTGCTCTCCTGTGTCCACTCCCTAACAGAGGGGACGGGAGGTCCCTCGGAGCGCAGACTGGAGGGTTTCCATCTTTGTGTCCCCAGGCCCTGGCTTCACTCCTGCCTCACTGTAGGTCCTCAGCTGAGCGGAGTTTGCAAATGAAAGGATTTCCTAATTCTTAAATAAGCATAGATCCCCAGCCTTCCCTGAACCCCTGGAAGCCTGACAGCTCTTCAGATTTTAGGAAGTAAATCAGACACATCAGTGTTTGTGCATCCAGACATGTGACTGTTCACACTGGGTGTGAAATTACAGACTCTGGAGGCCCCACATGTGTTTGGGGCGGCTTTTACCATCCAGTGAGTTTGCTCCAGACTCCACAAAAACTTTCTGTTTTTCAGTCATTTGGTTTTCAGAGTTATAGGAAAACAGATTGTGGTCCTGTATTTATTTAAGTTTATGTTAAAATGGATTTCATTTGGTTCTTGTTTTTTGCTTAAACTTTCACGTTGTTTTTTCTTGTTTTTTTTTTTTTGTGAGGAAGATCAGCCCTGAGCTAACATCTGTGCCCATCTTCCTCCACTTTATATGGGACGCCGCCACAGCATGGCTTGACAAGCAGTGCGTCGGTGCGCGCCCGGGAATTGAACCGGTGAACCCCGGGCCGCTGCAGTGGAGCGTGCACACTTAACCGCTTGCGCCACCGGGCCGGCCCCCACATTGTTTTTTCTTTGATGCAATAATTGAAAAACAGTGTGCTTCACATAATTGACTGGCTGTTGGCTTCAGGCTGTGCTTGACACTCTCACCATACAAGACAAGCAGCTCACAGTCCACACGGACACGCGTGCAGCTGTAACACAAGTAATAGCGTGATGAATGTCATGGTAGAAGTGCAGAGTGCGAGCGGGAGACGGGGGGACGGGGCCCTCTGCTGGGTGGTGGGGTGGGAACGGGTTCCTGGGGAAGGGGGCGTTTGAGGAGAGCCGCCATCTGTGTCTGGGCACGTGAGTAGGGCCAGGGTTGGGGTCAGGGCGAGGCCCAGGGACAGTGAGTCATTTTGTTTGCCTGAGCAGGGGCTCCTGGGTGGGTGAGAGCATTTGTGAGGGCCCTGAAGGCCATGCAGAGGAGCTGGGATTTGCAGCAGTTACTGGTGATGAGGACCATGTTTGTAATGCTTTTCCTTCATTTTTCAAGTTAGAGAAACTTATTTTACGATAAACCGAGATCCTCGTTTGAGAAGTAGTTGCCGTGAAAGCTGTTAGGAGGCAGATGTTGCACTCTCTACTGATTCTCAGTGCACTGATCATCTCTCAGGAAGCACAGTGAGCTCAGAAGTGTGAGTCATTCATGGCCATCAGTGATGCTGGCACCAGTAGGCCACTCGGAGCATGTCGTTAGTGTGGCGAGGCCCCCAGAGCAGGCTCAGGAAGCTGGAGTTCTGATCTCTGCCCAGCCAGTACCTTGCTGTGTCAGCACAGGCGGGTTACTTCCACGGCCTCGGAAAAGTGGGGTGGTAAACAGCGTGTTCATCACAGTGATGGGGCGTTGTGACTGGAGGAGAGAGGGCCCTAACGCAGTTGGACGGTTCGGCAGTTGCTGCAGTACTAAGGACGGAAACTTACATGAAGGCTCATGTAGATAAACTGGGGGTGGTTTATGCCCTCTGGACCCTCCCTTGAAGAACAAGTAACAGCTGATAGGCTCCCTGCTGGGAGCTGTCATAAAGTAGATGAAGCAAAGCTTAGTCCACGAGCATCCTTCAGCTGCCCCAGGCTAAGGCCCCTTTTAGCATTGACCTCCCGGCGGCGCCATTCTGAGCATCCTGTGAGATGACGTAAGAGTAAGACATACTGCAGACGTTCCAGTGAGAGCTTTCTTCCTTCGGGGCAGCCCAGGGTGGTAGGAGGGGTCTGAACCCAGCTCTGTGTGGTCTCAGCAGATGTTCTCATTGCTCTGAGCTGCAGTTTTTTCATCTGTAAATGGGGGTGAGGATACCACCCTCACAGGGTTACACGTGAAATGGTCAGAAACTACCTAGCAAATACTAAGAGATCATGAAAGGAACGGTGTGTGTCATCATCAGCCTAGGTCTGACCCCGGTCGTGCTGGCTTCCCAGGGTCGGTGAATTTAAGGCAGATGAGCCAGTTGCGGAAGTATACTTAACGGAACCCTCTGAGTGCCTTTCCTTCTGTTTAGCTGCTCGCATGTTTCTTGTTGATTCAGGTAACGCCCGTCCCAGAGCTGTCCCTAACGGCAGTGAAGCTCAGCCATGACAGCACGGGAGCGAGGTACTTACACCTGGCCAGAGAAGACACCAATAACCTGTTCAGGTGCGTGGTGCATTCTAAGAACACATTCTTGACTATTTCTGCTTAGAACAGCGCCCATACCTGACGTAGTGGAAGGTAGTGGTGTCGACAGCATCCTGGAAATGGAAGGAAAAGATTAGATGAGTTTGTGTCCTCAGCTACACACAGACAAGTGTACAGTCTGCATTGGTGGGTTTATACACTGTGGTCAGAGAGCATTTGATGGAATATGGTGGTGTTGGGGTGATTAGCTCCCGTCTCCCGAGGCGCCCGCTCGAGGAGCTGTGTTGGGCAGGACGCTGACCCCCCCTTGTCCCTGCAGCGTGCAGTTCCGCACCACCCCGACGGACAGCACTGGGGTGCCGCACATCCTGGAGCACACTGTCCTGTGCGGCTCCCGCAGGTTCCCCTGTCGGGATCCCTTCTTCAAAATGCTCAACAGGTCGCTGTCCACCTTCATGAACGCCTTCACAGGTGAGGCGGGTGTCCTGACCCGGGCCTGCTGCTGGGTCTGCGGGGGGCACCTGCTCCAGTTCACTGGGCCTCTAAGATACAGGCGGGCAGTCGGCACCTGTCCACCAGAATAGATTTACCCTCCTGTGGTCGGGTTGAAAGATGTTAGAAATTCAGTCCTGTAGGAAAGCCACATCATGGGCAGACTATAAAAACTAGATTTTTAGGGAAAAGAAATCTGTTTTTTTCTGGAAAAGATCAAAACAGTTTTCTTTGGGGAATATTGCTATAAAATTTGGCCTCTGTAGCACTATGTTAATGTTGATGGTGGTGCTGAGTTTTATTTTTAGGAAGTGGATTAGAGAACAATAGGCTGATGTTGTGTGCAGAGAACTACTGTTCTGAGTGCTGTTAAAGAGCCGAGGCCGCCTTTCTAGGCATGTGAGATAACCAGTGCCTGTGCTGGGCGCGGACCCAGAGCTGGGGCCCCTCCACGCCCCTGACAGTTAGCGCGTACTGTGGGGGGAGGCCTGAAGTGAGCAATCCTGGGGACGTCCGTGTGTCTTACAAGCCTACTTTTACTCTACCCAGCCAGTGACTACACTCTGTACCCGTTTTCCACACAAAACCCCAAGGACTTCCAGAACCTCCTGTCTGTGTACTTGGATGCGGCCTTCTTCCCTTGCCTGCGGGAGCTCGATTTCTGGTATGTGACGCCTGATGGTCGGTGTGGGCGTGAGTAGTCGAGTCGCTGCCCTGTGATTGTTTGTCTTTGTTTAGGCAGGAGGGATGGCGGCTGGAGCATGAGAACCCAAGCGACGTGCAGACACCCTTGGTCTTCAAAGGCGTCGTCTTTAACGAGATGAAGGGAGCGTTTGTGAGTGTTTGCTGTTTTATATTCTGTTAAAATTAACTTACTGTGTAAAGTATTGGGATATAAATAGGTTTGGTTGATAGTTGACATTCTCATATGTTATTCAATATTCTCGTCGTGTGGAGCTTGCTGAATTAGCTGGGGACGGTGCTGTGAGGAGAAGGCACAGGACGCTGGAAGGGTCAGGCTCCAGACCATTCTAGAACCTGGTCTTGTAGACTAGCAGGTCTCAGACTGTGATCTGTAGAGGTCTGCAAGGTAGAAACTGTTTTGTAACACTTTGAAGACATTGTCCTCTTCACTTGTCCTTGCCCGAGTGTGCAGTGGAGTTCCCCAAGCCCCCCTCCACCGTGATGTCACGGTTTATCGGGTACAGACGCAGATAGAGCATCCGGCTGTCTCCTACCAAACCAGTCATCGGAGAGATTTGCAAAATATGCAAAATAATGCTACTGTTCTCAATAATATTTCTGTTTTGTTATGAGAACTATTTTTGAAAAGATATTTATGTCAACGTCTAACCTTGGGTTAAGTTAATGAGTGAATAAGTAACTTTTTAAACTATCTCAGCCTTAACTTCTAATGGAGAAAAATTCTGTATACATACACACACCTACACAATCAAGAAACCCACATCGTCAGAAGCTCTTTGGAGACCTCATTAGTTTTTAGGAGTTGGAATGGTCGGGAGACCAGGCAGTCTGAGAACCGCTGTCCTCTCAGCCCCTCTTGACTTTGGGGACCTGCCCTGACGCATGGGGCTGCTAACGTGCACCACGCTGCTTCCTTGCCTGCCACCTCTCGCAGCTGGCGGCTTTTTCTTTCTCCTTTAATACTCAATTTGGGCATCTTGAAACTCAGGTTCTGGTGACAGCTTTCCCTCTGGAAGCCCGTGGGACCCTGCCTCCCCCACAGCTTGTGGCAGAGGGAATCCCAACTCATCCTCCCTGTCTCCCTGAGTCCCTCCCCTTCCCTCAGCTGTGCAGTTGTGGTCACCCGGTGCGCACTGCACAGTGGATTTTCTTTCTTTTCTGAGAGAGCCGGTCTTCGGGTCCCTCCCAGAGATTATGAATGAGTTGAACGCTTCGTTATTAAACAGAATCTGTGTAGACGTGCTTGTTTGCCATTAGAACGGTTTTATTTGCAAGACATCGCGGGTATAGGCTCCCAGAATGTGATTAATTTGCTGTGTATTGTAACATGATAATGTGTGTTTATGATTTTACATATCTATGTGTATTTTTTTAAATTTGAAGACAGATAACGAGAGGATATTCTCGCAGCACCTTCAGAACCGACTTCTCCCTGACCACACGTACTCGGTGATCTCTGGTGGCGATCCACTCTGCATCCCAGACCTCACGTGGGAGCAGCTTAAACAGTTCCATGCTACTCATTACCACCCCAGTAATGCTAGGTGATATTTCGTTTTTAGAGTTGAATGGCGGGGTGATTAAGAGTTGACTTGTTTGCATTTTCTTACACTAAGTTACATGGTTTCTCTCACATTTGGCAGAGATGTGTGCTTAAGAATGATGTAAATTTAGGTAAGACTTTTCTTTTTTTGTGAGGAAGATTGGTCCTGAGCTAACATCTGCCAATCCTTCTCTTTTTGCTGAGGAAGACTGGCCCTGGGCTAACATCCGTGCCCATCTTCCTCCACTTTATATGGGATGCCGCCACAGCATGGCTTGACAAGCGGTGCGTCAGTGCACGCCCGGGATCCGAACCGGCGAACCCCGGGTGGCCACAGCAGAGTGCGCACACTTAACTGCTTGCGCCACCGGGCCGGCCCCAAGACTCTTTACTTAACAGTTTGTCTCTCTGATTTACTTGGATGCTCATTCTAAAAGTCTATGGCATCTCAGCTGTATGATTATCACGTGGGAGTGTCTGTGGGCGTCCCCCTCGTCAGGCTAACTGACGCTGTACCCATGAGGCTCTCAGCCCTTAATCAGGGACAAGTGCTCCAGAAATAGGGATTGCAGTTATTAAACCTGGGATACTTGCTTTTTGATAAATTGCTTGTTTCAAGTATCACTAATAATAAAACACTAGTGCTTGTATTTATAAATAAGCCAAACAGTAATGTGAAATAGTATTTGCAAGATTATTTTAAATGTAAAAAATTTAAATTTTAATTGTGAAAACTTCCAAGCGTACAGAAAAGTATAGAGAATAGAATAATGAGCCCCGTACACTTATCACTTAGATGTATCCTCTGCCAACATGTTTTAAAGGAAATTACAGAAATCATGATGGTTTCCCCTAATACTTGGATTTGTGACCCTAAAACATAAGGATACTTTCTTTCATAAGATAATGCCATTTTCGTATTTAGCAAAGTGAAAAGTACGAGCTTAAAACCACCTCCTAATTCTGAATTCGGATTTTCCAGTAGTCCCCAAAATGTTTGTTTGATCCAGACAAGGCCCACATGTTTGGTAGAGCTCTGTTTTTCTCCCTCAAGACACAGGCCGTCTGGCGGGTGGGATTCCGACACCAGTTGAATGCTGAGTTCCTCATCAACCTGCTCGTGGTTCTCATGTTCACTGGGTATTGCCTGGAGTGATTCCTCTAGTAGAGTTTGCAAAGTTTTCTAAAGAATTCTGTCGTGTCTTTCACATTTATTAGCCAGACTTCTGCAAACAGGAGCGTTCCCCATCAGTGGGGCTGTGGGGTCACCCTGCAGAACAGTTGTGGTGGGAGAGGTGGGCAAAGCTTCTTTTCCTTGGCTGTCCAGTTTTAGGGGGAGATGGTGTCAGTAGCTCCTCCAATGATGACAGAAGAGGGTTTTTTTTAAAGGCTTGTTTGGTTTGTTTTATTTTTTAATACTATTATGACCTCATAGAAATATTTTCATATATGTGTATATTTGAGGGTGTGTGATCAAATGGAATCTTTTCATTTATTGTTTTATGTTCACATCCTCCAGACTGTAGCCTGCGGGAGTTTCTTTAAGCTCATCCTGTCTTTCTCACAGCTTCTTTAGTTTTTGGTAACTTGTTTAGTTTCTGTTCCCCGGCCCCAAATCTGGGCTCGTCCTGCTCCAGGTCTGTAGCTAGTCATTTCCCCAAGGAGTTCTGTGACTAAATGGAGACAGACATTTAGAGGCCAGTGTCTGGACGGACACCAGGTGCCCATTGCCACTGGATTATCACTTTCTAAGCCTTTGAGTGGAAAGTTTTAAAGGATCTTTAAGATATTAGTCCCCCAGATCTCTCTATTTATTTATTTTATTGGGATATAATTGGCATATAACATTGTATTAGTTTTAGGTGTACAACAAAAGGATTTAAAATATGTATATATTGTGAAATGATCACCACAGTAAGTTTAGTTCACATCCATCACCGCAGATAGTTACAATTTTTTTGTCTTGTGATGAGAACTTTTAAGATCTGTTGTCTTAGCAACTTTCAGGTATATAATACAGTTTTATTAACTGTAGTCACCTTGCTGTACATTAGATCCCCAGAACTTATGATTGGGAGTTTGTACCTTTTGGCCGCCTTCCCCATTTCGCCCACCCTCCACCCTTCACCTCTGGCCACCACTGATCCTCTCTCTCTATCAATGAAGCTTGACCATAGCTCGGATGTTATATTAAAGAAAAGATCAACTCTGTCATTGTAACCTTCTTCCTCTGGATGAATAAATGTGTTATCTTAAAAACGTGTAAAAGAGCGATTTTTGCTAGATTTATGTTTAATTAATCCCGTTGCGTGATTTGTATTGTGTTTGAACCACCTATCTTATAAAAAGAATAAAAGCCTCTGTTTGGTGTTTGTAGTTAAACTAAGTAAAGAAAGTGTATTCCTATATAAAGTTCATTTCAATATGGAAACTGGCTTGTTATCAGCTGCCTTATCCTTCATACCCTCCATTTCATACAAAGAGCCATCTGTGCTGATTTCTCGTCTTGTTAACTAAGACTAATATATTCTCTCAAAATTTCAGGTTCTTCACTTATGGTAATTTTCCATTAGAACAGCATCTGAAACAAATTCATGAAGAAGCACTGAGTAAATTTCAGAAAATTGAGCCAAGTACCGCAGTGCCAGCTCAGAAGCCTTGGGACAAGCCAGTAAGTGCCTTGAGCAGAGAATAATCAGTGTTTTTACCATTCCTATTAAATATATTGAGGTGAAAACTCAAACCGTGTATCAATAATAGGGTTTTAAAATGTTGTTGTGGGCTCTGCTGTGTATGTAAGAGCTTCTCAAACCTAAAGAATGGTTATTGGTTTGAAAGGAAAGTTAATTTAGTGAAAAGCATCTCTTGGGCCATTTTATCCATCCAGAAAACCTATACTGGTTTGAACTCGTTCATTCGTACTCTGTGCCTATTTAATGCGTCACATCGTTTTACAGAGGGAGTTCCAGATCACGTGTGCCCCGGACTCGCTGGCCGCGGGTTCCTCCAGACAGACCACCGTCAGCGTCAGCTTCCTCTTACCAGAGTGAGTATCTGGGGTTCTCCCATCACATGTGAACGGATGGATGCTTAGGGTTCAGAGTCCAGCAGGTGTTAGAGGTTGGGAAGTTTTTACAACATCGGGGATGGTTTTGGGGAAATCGCTTTTGATAGCCCTCCAGAAGAAAGGTAACTTACTTCTTATTGCATTCTAAAGCTGGTTCCAGAGAAAAGTCTGGCTCAGAACGATAGATGTTAACATTTGGAGAGGTCACCAATGCCTTTGAGTGTGGGAAGAGCACTATGAACAGGGCCTCAGAAAAATGTACGACACAGAACTCTAATTCTAGGGTGTGGGCAGGAAGGAGCCCAGCTGAGCTCCATGGGGTGTCTGCCCTCACGAGCCACACAGCTCAATGGAGTTGCCCTGTCCCCTCACTCTTTTTTGTCCAGGTGTAGATGGTGCGCGTATAGTGGAAATAGTAGAGGTCAGAGTGCCTGGCACACTGTCATGCGATAGCATTCAATACGCAGCTAAGTCAGCTGTAGGGTTTGGGACCAAAAAAAATCTCAGTGTCTAAGAGCTTTGCAAACCAAAAAAATAGTTACTGTCTTTGCCCGTATAACTAATAAAATAGAAGTTGAAATGCAAGAATTTCTAGTAGAACTTTGGCTTTTTTGGAAATAAAAGTGTTAATTTAGTAGTGATTTTCATGATTTTGAAAACATTTACAAGGACCAACAGTTTCCCCTTTTTCCTGTCTCCCTCCCTGTTGAATGAAGGATCACTGATACCTTTGAAGCCTTCACGTTAAACCTTCTGTCTTCACTCTTGATTGGTGGACCCAACTCCCCCTTCTACAAAGCCCTAATTGAATCTGGACTCGGCACGGACTTTTCTCCTGATGTTGGGTGAGTTTGATTATCAGATCAGATCAGTAGTTTGCAGCTGGGGGCAGTTTTGTAGTTGACAAAGTTTGGACACGTTTTTGTTGTCAAAACTGGAGAGAGATTACTGTTATCTGGTCAGTGGGCATCAGGGATGGAGGATGCTCAACATCCCACAGTCACAGGATGGCCCCCCTCCCACCCCAGCCCAGAACTGTGCATTAGATTATGGTTCCAGTGCAAGCTATTTATAGCCCCTGCAGGAGACATCTGACAAAAAAACAAAAACAAAAGAAAAAAAAAGATAGCCTTTCCAAGATCTCAGAAGGGCATATGCTGCTTGTTTTAAAAGTCAGGTCGTTAAGTATTCTTCAAAATCTTAGGACTTTGTAAAACTCAGCACTTCTCTATTTCTAAATTTAATTTTGCCATTACTCTAAAGTTTACATTGTATTGATTTTTAGAAATGTTAAAAGGACATGAATGTAAGTGTGACCGATTATATCTGAGGACACCACTTTGACTTTTTCATCAAGGATTTGGGAGTTTAAAGTCCTCAGCTCTGTTCTGTAGAGTATTTGGACTTTAAATAAAGCATATTTGATGAATGATGAAAGTTGTTGGGTTTCCGATGCATTATCTTCTTTTGTGTTCTAGATATAATGGCTGTACAAGAGAGGCATACTTCAGCGTCGGCCTGCAAGGGATTTCGGAGAAAGACGTTCAGACAGTCCGCGACATCATCGACAGGACGGTAGATGACGTGATTGAGTGCGTATGGCTATCTGCGGTGGTCTGCCTGCACTCTCAATTCCTGAGTCCTTTACAGGGGAGGGAGCGAGCCTTCTTTTGTCTGGCTGTCTCTTGATGTAGTAACACGTGTACTCGTTCATATTTAGTTGTTTAAATATCGTCTCTGCTACTTGGTTCAGAAACGTTTGAACCAAGTTCAAACTTGGTTTGTTTTCAACATCTCTGTTCTTCATATTTCCTTAGGAAGGGATTCGAAGATGATCGAATTGAGGCTTTACTTCATAAAATTGAGATACAGATGAAGCACCAGTCGGCCAGCTTTGGACTCACCCTGGCTTCTGTGTGTAATTTCTCAGCCTACCTCTCTCTCTCTTTCTTTGGTTTTCTTGAGTTTTGTGATCAGTGGTTCTTGACAGCACTGACAATATGGATTGATATTCAGCGCACCTTTCATTTGAACCTTGCAAGTTACGCTGTTTTGGATCGGATACAAATTTACTTTCAATTTAATTTTATAGTATAGTGTTTGTCTTTTTACTAGCTTACTTATTGGTTTTTTGATATCTTATGTTTTCATGTAAAATAGGTTTACACAGAATACTTTAAGTGGGTAGGGATTTGTGATAACTGTTGGTAATTATATTTTCTAAAAATAATTTTTAAACCTGCTTTTTTATTAGAAAACAGGTTTGAAATGAGTTTAGTTTTTCTTCTTCTAACCAAAGAATGTCTTAAATTTTGTGAACAGTCATCTGTGGTATTTTTAAATATAAAACTGAGATCTTAATAAAATGTCATGCCTGTGATGTTTACTGAGCTAATGTAGAGTTGGTGGTGTGATGTGCATATGGATTTAAAATTCTCTGTTCCGGAGGAGAAGTCAAGATGGCAGCATAAGCAGACTGTGAAGTAGATAATAACAACAATAAACAAACACACAGAGACAGAGATTGGATTGGTGGTTACCAGAGGGGAAGGGGGAGGGAGGAGGGAGAAAGGGGTAATTTGGCACGTGTGTGTGGTCATGGATTGTAATTAGTATTTGGGTGGTGAACATGAGGTAATCTATGCAGAAATAGAAGTATAATGATGTACACCTGAAATTTATACAGTTATAAACCAATGTTACTGCAATAAACAAAAAATTAAAAAAAAAGTAAAATAAAATTCTCTGCTCCAGTACATAGCTTCCTGCTGGAATCATGACGGGGACCCCGTGGAGCTCCTGAAGCTGGGGAGTCAGGTGGCTCAATTCAGGCAGTGCCTTCAGGAAAATCCAAAGTTTTTGCAAGAAAAAGTGAGACAGTATTTTAAAGTAAGAAAATTGGAGAACTTCTATCTATAATTTTGAATTTGAATTTTATAATAATGAATATTAGGAATATAACCTAGATAACATAAGTCAATTTTTGTTAATGAATAGGTGACCAAATTTTTAAATTATTAATTAAAAATTTAAATGCTCGTTAATTCTATTTTCCAGATTCTGATGCAAGTTGGTTTTTTATATGAATGTATGCTGTGTGTATGTGTACTTTTTATATATGAATATATATGTGTGTGTGTGTGTATGTATTAACAGAATATCTGCACATCTTTTTGTCCTGTTTTGTAAGTAGAAAGATTGTATAGAATACGAGAACAGTCATAAAGGTGTGTGTTCTGGTTGTTCTTGTGAAGGATTCTGTTGAGGCTTGCTCGTTTGTTTCCATGGATTTCTGGGTGTGTGTACTTGGTGTGTGTCCCCTGGTAGGCAGTTGTGACTATGGCAGAACTTCTTATAGGCCCTTATAGGGTGGGGAGGGGGCTGTTGTCTGTGTGCCGTTGTTTGGACGTGAGACAGGATTTGGTCACTTGACCTGCCGTCTCTCTACATTGTTCTAGTTATTTTGCATGAAGTTCAATATGTTGGGCTTTAATAAAATCTTGTTTTAATGTGGCTTTTTTTGTTGCTTTGGTTGTTGCAGAATAATCAGCATAAGTTGACTTTATCAATGAAACCAGATGACAGGTATTCCGAGAAACAAACACAGATGGAAACAGAAAAACTGAAGCAAAAGGTCAACTCTCTTTCCGTGAAAGACAAGCAGCAGATCTATGAGAAAGGTCAGGCGGCTAATTGTGTTCTTATCATCCGTCAGCCTCCACCCACCCCCGGGGGGCTTCAGGGAGTTGATAGTTGGAGGCAGGTAGTATTTCAACCAGCGTGTGTTTCTGGGGCATCTACAAGGTTCTACCTTTGGTGCAATGGATTCAACCCCAGTAGGACTGACCCTGTTCTCGGGGAATTCACCCTGTAGTTCAGCAGGAAAAGCAGGAGTACTGGAAAAGAGGTAGCTTTATAAGGTTTATTCATTTTATAAGTTTTATGAATACTTTCTGTTTACCAGGGGCTGTGATGTGCCACTAAAATGTATGTTGTGTTGCAGTCTGTAGTAGTTGCCAGATGAGCCCTGTAGACAGTATGAGCTGTGAGTTCAGGAGAGGCAGATCTCAGTGAGGGAAAACCTTGAGATGGCGTTGAGGCACCAGTCGGATCCGCATGGTGCCGGCACTCGTGAAGACAGGAACAGTTTTATAATTTTCTACCGTGCTAAACATACACTCAATGTAAAGCCCAGTGATCCTGCTCCTGCATATTTACCCAAGAGAGATGAAAGAATATGTGCACACAAGACTGAAACAACCCACATGTCCATCCACATGGCACATCCACACAGTGAAACATGACTCGGCTGTAAGGAGGAACAGAGCACTGGCATAGTGTTGACGAATCTCAGAGGCACCATGCGGAGTGGGATTAGCCAGGCACGGAAGAGCACTTGCAGGATGAATCCATTGATTTGAAACCCTCGAAATGGCAAAACAGTAGTGACGGAAGGCACGTGAAGCCAGGAGTGGGCACACGTGGTTACGCTACCGTGTACGTTTACCAAAACTCATTGAATTACATCTTTAGGATTTTATACGTCAGTTATATATTAAACTTTATTGAAATATATATACAGTACAGATACATACATGCCCACTTCAAAAAAAAAAGTAGCTGGTGGGATTATATGAGGAATTATCAGGCTTGCCAGGTAGAGTTGACTTTAGGTGGAAAGTAAGTGATTCCATTTTTTTATTTAATTATTTTTTTATTGATGTCATAATAGTTTATAACATTGTGAGATTCCAATTGTACATTATTATTTGTCAGTCACCATATAAATGCGCCCCTTCACCCCTTTGCTCATCCCCCAACTCCCTTCCCCCTGGTAACCACCAAACTGTTCTCTCTGTGTCTTAGTTTATCTTCCACATATGAGAGAGGTCATACAGTGTTTGTCTTTCTCTTTCTGGCTTATTTCACTTAACATAATACCCTCTAGGCCCATCCATGTTGTTGCAAATGGGATGATTTTGTCTATTTTTATGGCTGAGTAGTATTCCATTGTATATATATATACCACATCTTCTTTATCCAGTCCTCAGTCGATGGACACTTGGGTTGCTTCCACTTGTGGCTATAGTGAATAATGCTGCAGTGAACATAGGAGTGCATAAGCCTCTTTGGATTGTTGATTTCAAGTTTTTTTGGATAAATAACCCAGAAGTGGGATAGCTGCATCATAGGGTATTTCTATTTTTAATTTTTTGAGGAATTTGAGTACTGTTTTCTGTACAGGCTGCACCAGTTTGCATTCCCACCAGCTGTGTATGAGGGTTCCCTTTTCTCCACATCCTCTCCAGCATTTAAGTGATTCCATTTTGATCATGCTAAGTTGGAGGTGATTTAATCTAATAAAGGCAGAATTAATGTCAATATGTAACCCACTGTTCTTTATCTCTGAATTCTTGTTTAGACATACAGCTATTCTAAACTCTTCCATAAATTCAATGTGCTAATTGTGACTAATGTAATAAACACAAACTTCTGTTTTGTGAGGGCCCATGGACAAGTTCCATCTGCTCTTTTTTTTAAATTGAGGTATTGCTGACCTGTGACATTATATTTGTATACATTGCAAGATGATCATCACAACAAGTTTAGTTAACATCCGTCACCATACATATAGTTATAGCTTTTTTTTTTTTTTTTTTTGTGATGCGGGCTTTTAAGATCTACCCTCTTAGAAACTTTCAGATACACAATACGATATTGTTAACTATAGTTACGATGCTGTATATTACATCCCCAGGAATTAATGTATCTTACAACTGGAAGTTTGTACCCTCTGGCCCACCTTCACCCATTTTGCCCACCCTCCACCCCCAACTTCTGGCAGCCACCCGTCTGTTCTCTGTATCTATGATCTTGCTTTTTTTGTTGTTGCTTTTTAGATTCCACATATACGTGAGATCATAGGGTATTTATCTTTTTCTGTCTGACTTATTTCACTTAGCATAATGCCCTTGATGTTCCTTCATGTTGTTGCAAATGGCAAGATTTTGTTCTTATTTATGGTTGAATAATATTCCATTGCATGTCCGTGTGTGTGTGTGTATATATATATATATATATATATATATATACACACACACCATGTCTTCTTCATCCATTTATCCATCAGTGGACTCTCAGGTTGTTTCCATAGCTTGGCTATTGTGAATAATGCTGCAGTGAACAAGGGGGTGCAGGTATTTTTTGAGTTAGTGTTTTTGTGTTCTTCAGATAAATACCCAGAAGTAGAATTACTGGATCATATGGTAGTTATATTTTTATTTTCTGAGGAACTTCCATGCTGTTTTCCATAGGGGCTGCTTGCATTTACGTTCCCACCAGCAGTGTACAAAGGTTCCCTTTTCTCCACATCTTCGCCAATACTTGTTATTTCTTGTCTTTTTGATAATAGCTATTTTCACAGGTGCTAGGTGATGTCTCCTTGTGGGTTTGATTTGCATTTCCTTGATGATTAGTGATGTTGAGCACCTTTCTGTGCACCTGTTGGCCATCTGTATGACTTCTTTGAAAAATTTATATTCAGATCCTCTGCCTGTTTTTTAATTGGATTGTTTGATTTTTGCTGTTGAGTTGAATGAGTTCTTCATGTATTTTGGATATTAACCCCCTATCAGGTAGATGGTTTACAAATATTTTCTCTCATTCTCTAGGGGCCTTTTCATTTTGTTGATGGTTTCCTTTGTTGTGCAGAAGGTTTTTGGTTTGGTGTAGTCCCACCCATCTTTTCATTTTCAGTTAAAGCCATTTGTAGTACAGAAGAGAATTCCATGCCTAAGCAGCAGAACATACGTTCCCTGAGTTTTCAGATTCCTGGCCTGGCCGTGGAGGTGTGCTCTGTTTTAAGAAAACCAGTATACTCCAGCCCATACCCGCATGTGAGTGACCGGGGGCCCCTATTAGAAAAGTGTGTTCTTATTTTACAGGTGCCTGCAGAGTTCTGTTAAGTAGGACACTCTGCTAGTGCATATATAATGGTTGTTTCAGGTCAGTAAGTCTTAAGTGTGGACTGAGTGTGAGGAATCTGTGAATCGAGGTCTAAACTGTAGATAAACGCCAATGAAAAAAATGCGAGATTATCCAATTTGCTAAAAACTTTACATAATCTTCCAATTTTGGGTGTTGGTGTACTGTGAAGGGAGGCAGCCCCAGCCTTCGGGAGCTTGTGGTCTGGCGAAGGGAGGAAATGCTGGAGGTTTCTGTCCTGACTGGGCGTGTGTTCAGAGAGGGGAAGGGGGTGTTGTAAAGGATAAAGGAGGCGGACCCTGAGTTGTTGCCAGGACTGGGCAGGCAGGGGCAGGAGGTGCCTTTCAGGTCAGATGCACAGAATTAGAAAGCATCTGAGGGGCCAGGGCTTGGGACACTGTGGTTGACTGGGGGTAACGAGCTGTGAGGGAGGCCCTTGCAAGTCCAGGAGGTGTGAGCGTAGCCGGGGAAAGCCCAGCTCCAGGCCACACCCGGGGAGTGGGGCACAGCAGTGCCTGTGGCAAGCTGCCCTGGAGTCCCACCACAGGCTCTCCAGGCACTGGCGATGGGAGCCTCAGGGAGGGACGTGGAGGTCAGGGGAGCTCCCACTCTCCCGTGTCCGGTCAGCTCGTCAGACGCGGGGACATCCGTTACCGTGGTGACAGGATGCAGCTGTGCGTTTGACACAGCTGAACTGTGAAGTCTTCACACCTGCCCCGTTCAGCTCCATCAGGAGGCACACATGCGGATTCCTCCCCGACAGCCTGTGTGGTTCTGTGCAGGGACTCCCCTCTGATCAGATCAGCGTAAGAACAGGCCCAGAAAAGGTATTTTTCAGCATTTTTAGAATTTATGAAATTTATGTCATTAACAAGCATTTTGCTGAGATCAGTGAAAATGAAATAAGAGTAAACAAGCACAAAAGTTATTAAATTTCAGTCCAGCAAGAAATGGTTTGAAATCTCTGAAAATAAGTGCAGTCTATCTGGTGTAAAATTTAGGGGGCCGTGGAGCAACTGCTTGAGCACAGCCCCGCCCCCACAAAATTGCTCTTGCAGGGCATTGAGAGTGAGAGTTGGGGAAGAGGTGCTGCCTGGGCGGGTTGTGGTGCTCCTGATCTGGTGTGCCGGGAAGTGACGGGTTCCTTTAAAGCCCAGTGCTCAGGGGCCCCACACTGGGCATGGGGGCCTGATTCCTATGTGAGTTCATAGAGAGAGGGGAGGTGAAGTGCCTGAGACCTTTCTGTTATCACCTGAATGTTCATCCATCTCTTTTCTCAGGTTTAGAATTACAGGCTCAGCAGAGTAAGCCTCAGGATGCCTCTTGTCTCCCAGCGCTGAAGGTGTCGGATATCGAGCCCACCATCCCGTTCACGGAGCTGGAGGTGGGCCTGGCAGGTCAGTGTGAGCTGTCGTGTTCACTCGAGGGCTCTTTGGTTAAGTTCCGTTCCAGTCTCCGCAGGAAAAGCAGAGTCAGTGTGAGCACTTGGGCGCCCCTGTGAATTCATCGTCTTGCTCGTCACGTTTCTTGTAGATGGTTTTCACCATTCAGTGACGGTAGACTTCTCTACTCAGTGGGGCCTGTGGTTTTCCCGTGAGTGGATCTGATAGGGTGCTGGGGTTCATTCGTTGCTTCTAGACTCAGGTGAGGATTAGCATTATTCTGTGGCTGTATTAAATGCAGCTCTTAAAAGGTGCAGGCATCCTCTGAGCCCCTGGCCGTCAATCCAGGAGGGGATGACAGGACCTGGAGGGGTCCAGAGCACCTCACAGTGCTTGGGTGCCAAGTGGCGGAGAGTGGGAGGGAGCTGCAGGTTGCTGTTATCTCGTCTCTCCTCCTAGAGTGTCTCCCCTGGTCTCACTGCTTCGCTCTGGCTTCCAGCTCGAGGCACGGGAGCCGTGCTCTCTGGGACAAGGTCACCCTGTCGGGTGTGGACGTTCATCCTCCAAGTGGGGGACTTTAGTTTATCCCTGTGTCTTGAGGACGTTCCGATGACAGCGTCACACTTTCTCTGGTACCCACCTGGTTTAGGATTTTAGACTGTGTTTGAGCATCACTATGATTTTGTGAAGCATCTGTCTCCTGCTTTTTGTGGTTTTTTTTTTTTTTTTTTTTTTTTGGTGAGGAAGATCGGCCCTGAGCTAACATCTGCCACTCCTCCTCTTTTTGCTGAGGAAGACTGGCCCTGGGCTAACATCCGTGCCCATCTTC